ATATACGTTTAAAGGCACTAACAAATTAATTGATATTTTTTTTATATTTAATAACTTAAACTAAGAAACTAATTAACTAATTTTTTATATAATATAATATATAACTTAAACTAATAAACTAATATAATATAACTTAAACTAACAAACTAATAATTTATACTAACAAACTAATTAACTATATTTTAGTTTTACCCTAAACCCTAAACTAACAAACTAATAATTTCATATAATAAACTAAATTAAACAATAAAAAATTACCTCACGAACTATGTTTGAGCCTTTATCTTCTTTTCTTCTTCTTCCTTTTCTTTCTCTCGGCAAAGTTTATATGTGCTTATGCTTCTGGTTCTGCTTGTGCTTCTACCCTAAACCCCATATCCTTTATATAAAGCAAATGAGCGTTGGACAGAGTCATTAAATTTGACTGTTGAAGCAAATAATATTAGCATTGCATCGTATAACTATTGAGCATTGAAAGGCTGCACTTGAACAATAATATTTGCTGCATTTAGCAGCTAAATTAACGCTGCAATAACGCAACTATGGATGCAACACATGCAGCTACGGATGCAGGAATCTCCCAGCTATGGATGCAACGCATGTAGCTACGGATGCAGGAATCTCCCAGCTATGGATGCAACGCATGAGGCTATGGATGCAACGGAGCTTGGTCGCCGAGACTCCATGGCGACCTACCTACCACGCCGTGACTCCATGGCGACCTACCTACCATGGCGACCTACCTACCACGCCGTGACTCCATGGCGACCTACATCGTTCGACGTGCATGGCCCATGCACAGTTCCCACGTCCCATGCACAGCTCCCACATGCATCCCACAACTCCCCCATGCACAGCTCCCACATGCATCCCACAACTCCCCCATGCATGCTCCAGTACTATTTGATTGCATGGCGACCTACACCTGCTCCTTTGCAAAACACCACACAGGTCGCTCGGATGCCATGGCGACCTCCAAGCTCGCCCGGATGCCATGGCGACCTACGGCTGCACTATAGAATTCACCCTATTTCAGCAATTAATCTGGGATGTGCATTATCTCGTGAATAAAAAAGTTCGAGAACATTATCTCGTGGATTTTGCCCAACAATTTGTGAGTGGAATTTCGTAAACCTCCTGTTTAAATTTTATACCTCTTGTATTTATATATATTAATATTTAAATAATTTATTTTTTATTGTCATCCAAATTCCCAAAGTTTCGCCTTAACTCATTTGGAGTAATCCGGGTCGTATACCTGATTTTAGTAGATGAATCTCTTAGTGAGGATTTTTTGCATACACGAGGATTCAAACTCGAGACTTGTTAAGTGATATCAAATTAATTACCACTTGAACTAACCTGTTGGTAATGTTTAAATAATTTATTAATTAAAGTTAAATAAGAATATTTTTTGTTAAATATTTATTCACATTGGATTAGACTAGTTTGACCTTAAAAAAATCATACTAAATACAACTTTTCCTTGTATAGTAATTTTTCCTCCTTTATTTCTTTTTGGTGTAATTTTTAATTTCATCCTTGTATTTTATTTTATCATTATCTAATCCTCATACTCTTTTCTTAGTGAATAATTAAACTTTAATAGTTTATTTTTATTAATTTTATGCATGTAAATTGTTAAATTGTATATTTGTAGGTCAACGGTTTAACAAGAGAGTTTGACAATATCATCCAATTGGCTTAACTTATCGTTTTTATTAAATCATGAGGGCCAAGTTTAAACGAATTAAAGGGACTAATTTATCAATTTTATTAAGTAGAGGGATTAAATTCACAATTGATAGTTTTCTTTTTATAAATGATTAGGCAGTTCACCAACCTCTCGGCGTTTTACCCAAAAAGTACCAAAAGAATCAATAATTACTTGTCAGGCACCCATTGATCAAATATTACCGATCTAACACCTATCCGCGCCTTCGTGGTAAAGGTGACACATGGCAGAAGTCGCAGATCACTATCCACACATTCTATTATTCACCTTGAATTATTTGGTACTCCATTATTTCCATTATTACCCGAGTCTTGAAGTTCGACTACTCACCCATGCCTCTCCTCTATAAATACCCCTGAATGCAAATATCAAACAACACCAAAATTACTTTCACTTTCTTTTTTCTATTAAGCTAAGTAGATTTTGTTATAGTTCGTAGAAGGCAACATTATTTGACTAAAATTTTTTGTACTAACTATTTCGTATTATTTTTTGTGGTTGTAAAATGGAAGGCGATATCAAATCTCGATACATTATGCCGATACGATAACAATATTAAATTGTGTTATTTAATTTACTGTAATTTTTTTTTTAATTTTTTAGCATTAGTTTATATTTTAATTCGTATACTATTTATTTAATTAGGTGTATTTCAGCTATTGTTTTTGTAGATATATGACTCTAAATCTTTTAAACTCTCAAAATGAGGCTTATTTTAATTATTGTTTACTATGATGGAAAAATTCGAGAAGATGAAATTGGCGTTGTCTTCGCTTCAAATCATTCTGTCAGAATATCCTTCAAGAGAAACATCACTCTTGATTCTCTTGAAGGAGCTAATCACTAAAATTTCAAGGAAGGTTCATGTTGGAAGTACTAGAAAATTGTCCTCACTTCAGTACAAATTTCCAATCGCAATATTTTCGTTAACTTATACAACATTCGAACTCTCCAACGATGATGATGTTGCTTCTTCAACCTCTTCGAGGGGGAGACATTTAACTGTAAGCTTCTTCGACCTCAATGTCAAGATGCCTATGAAACAACACTCAGTTCAAAACCCCGTGTGACATGATGCCTTCAAGTTCAAGGGAAAGACATTCAACTGTCAGCTTGTCCGGCCTAAATATTAGCATCATAGAGGAACCCTCATCTCCACCAGAAAAACCTCTTCGTGAGCCAAGTGCGGATTGTGCTGAGACTGGACTATTCATTGAGCTAGAATCACCGCAATTCAACCAGGTGCGGTGGCATCTGAACCGGTTATGGTGACATCTAAAATGGTTGTGGTGGCGTTTGACCCAGCTGCGATGGCATCTGAAACGGTTGTGGAATGTAAATCGATATAGACGATGGTTGCTGTTATGGTTTCGGTGTTGTAGCTGAGGATAAATCGGAAGAGCATGCTCTCCGTCCATGAATCGGGCGATGATGATATTGTGACGGTGGACGCTTTTCTCGACGCAGATGAATGCTCCTGTCTCGTGCTTCCTCAGAAAGTAGAAATGACTTCCCGTTCGTGTTGAACCACTGATAATAGTCATCCGCAACCGAATAATGATCCACATAAATCGGCTCCCTATGGGGAATTTGTTCGTTCACGTCGATCCTCCCAGATCATTACTCATTCGCAGTGTTTTATCAACCAGTTAACTTCTTTTTTGCCCCGTCTATCAATGTTATGCAAATTGTCGAGATTCCTAGGTTCTTCAGGAATAGATTGTACAAAATCAAATTGGCAAAGCACACGATCAGTGGGATGCCACTTGACAATAGTATAACACATCAGAGGGACCACCATCATCCATACATCTAATGGGCCACTCAAGTGAGGTGGGATGCAATGCCTCATTTCTTCAGTAGCATAAGGAGTCCATTGAAACTAAAACAAATATATATAATTCTTATCAAAATAATAAAACTTATTCCATATTTCTATTATATTTTATATATATTTAATTACTCACACACAATAAATAATTAAATATCCTATTTTTTATTGAGTTAAAGCATTAATGAGCTGGTGGGTTACTCATTTATTGGGCTAAAGGGTATCTCAGATCTAAAAGCCCATTTTTTCGAATTTTTGGATAATCTGAAACTGAAATTTGTCCGATCCATATCCGACCCGATTATCCAAATTTCCCCTGAATATTCGATCTGAATTGTCTGAAAATAAAAAATGGATCAGATATTCGAATTTTCGAATCTGATCAACGGATCAAATCTTTTTATACACCCTTGATAAAACCTGTCTTTTTCAAGATTATTCATCAAATTTTTCTATGGAAATCAAATTTATTTAAATGTTATATAAAATTAAAATATGATAAAACTTATCTTTTTCAAGATTTTTCATCAAATTTATTTAATATCATGTAAAATTAAAATAGAAGTGCATAAAGAAAACAACCAGGTAGAGATCATTTATTTGTAGAAGGTATTCAATTGAATTAATTAGTCAGTGTAAAATTAGTTTCGATTTTAATAAAATCATTGTTTATCGACATAGTCGTCCGTTGCCAAGGGGTAGAGTTGGTGTAGTAGTAGTAGTAATTGTCCGTTCACAAATTTAGCCTCAAAATTTGCCTTGCATTTATTTTAGTTTCTATTCTTCTCGAATCGGTTTCATAGCTTTGAACTTGTTCAGTTTAATCCTCAATCAACATTATTTATGTGCAATTGAATCTTCAATCTTCACATTTATTTCAATTAAATCCTTCATAATTTGAATTATTATGAAGGTGAAAAAGGTAAATGATTATTAATTTAAAAGAAATCAAACCACTAGTCGAAGTGGATGCAAAAAAGGATAACTTCATTATTGTTTTTGGATGTTAATTCGATCAATGGGGAGAATGACGTTAGGTTGGGAACAATGGGATGGATTGATTTTTTTTCCTCGGCAAATATGATTTTTTTTCCTCGGCAAATATGATTTTATTAAGGATTTAAACAAAGAATTCCAAAATTTAGATTCTGTGCCTCGTTAAAAATCTCCTTAAACCTATATGGAGGAAAAGATTGCAACAGAACTAGGTCAAAATTACAACTCCAAGACCCTACACCAACTAAATAGATTCTTGATCGATACAAACTCACACCGAACGTACACTAAAGTAGACCAATTACCATCATACTTTAAATAACTCACGTCTAGCCATCCCTTGTTTAGTTAAATGGTCAGTCATTCCATTTTTTGCTTCGAACTAGAACTGTTTACTATAATAAAATATTATTTCACTATTGAGAACTCGTTGTTATTGAAGTAAAGAGACACATGCTGATATTTGAAATTACTACAAGTAAAAGAGACAAACTAAACACGCATGATTCAAAAGCAATCCTTTATTGGTGGCTGTCAAATTTATTTAAATAGAAGTGCATGGTGTAAACAAGTAGTGGTATGTTTTGACAGCCTCACCATCGCACCACAGATTGCCGCAACGAGTAAATAAGCAAAGCTAGCTTAATTTGCAGGTGGGGAAACAGCGATTGTGGCGATTAAGGTTTGAGAATCACCATCTGATTTGATTTGTACCGCTGAATTGTATACCCAACCGTAGCTGTTGGTGTACGAATCATCGGTACCGTCGCGTTTAAGCTTGCTCCAGATATCTTTCCAAACAACGGGGGTACCAGCAGGAAGGATCGAAGTGGCCACCTGTAATTGATAAATGATCAGCTAATTATAACTATATATGCTACAAGAATCAATTATTACAGAAATAATTAACAAGTGAGATTTACTTCGTCATTGGCCGTCCAAACAACGACCCACGTGGCTATATTTCCGATAGCATACACAACAGATGCGATAACACTCAGCTCTGTATCCAGCTGGAATTTAGAGGGTGATGCACCGCTCTTAATTACGTTAGGAACACCTTCATAGGTGGACGAGACCAACATTAAAGTGTCGCCACTCCGACTACCAAGGACGACGTTTGTGGGAGTAGAAGGATTAGCCATTTGTTGTTAGCTCTCAACTAATCTTGTGTTTTTGATTTGCTTCTATTGTGCTACATACCTGCTTCCATGCACTTATTTATATACAGATTTGCAGAGTAATACGATAATAATAACGTCATACAGCCTTATTCTATGGGGGAAAACAGTAAAGCATATTATGAATCACATGGCCATTAAATAAAATATAAAATTCTACTTGCCCTAATAAAAATTGTAAAATTACGTTAATGCCCCATTAGCTATAAAGCTTTTGTCGTTTATCCCCTTCCTTTTATTTGAAGCATGATGAATTCATACTGACATCAAATAAACACAATCAAAACTCTAGTACCTATAGTGAAGTGTAAAATGACATTAATAACCTTTTTTCTATCAAAATTTTGTCCTTTTTATTTAGTATGATGAATTAATACAAACATTAAATAGAACATAAAACTCTAGTGCTCTACTAAAGGAAAATGAAGGCTTAGAGGATGTCAACAATATGGGGTTGAGTTAGTGGAGATTGGGTCTAACCAGAACATCTGGACTCCTCCTAGGATCATTCCCAAAACAATTTCGAAGAAACAATATAGAGAAATGAAGGAAATCCAAAATATGATTAGGTGTTCATGTGCGAGTCACTTTAATTCTTCGAGACTTTCGTACAGGTCACTCGGAATTAAATATGATTTGGTGTTCCAGTGGGAGTCACTCTAATTCTTTGAGACTCTAATTCCACGCAAATGATTGAAATGAACCTTACCAAATTTGAGAAGAAGCTTATCAATTTCCGACAAACTCGGCCACCACCGCCATGGTCGCTGGGACGCATTCATGATCCGGTTTAACACCATTGTGAAGTCCGATTCCACAATTAACATAGCTATCCTTGTCCAATTGGCCTCAAGGAACACTTCCGGGGCAGTTTTGACGTAATGAATATGACATAATTTGTTGATTAACTTCGATGAATTTGCATTTTATTTACTTATACATGATGTTATCCATAAGTATTAAGGTCATTATTGTTTTTGGATGTTAGTTTGATCAATGAGGATAGGGATGCTAGGTTGGACGTAATGGGAGTGACAGGTGGCTGCTAAGGATAAATTTTAACATCTCTTGTTCATCGGTTTTTGTTTTCCACATAAATAATACTTGAGTTTCGGATAGACGTATTCACCTATACAAGAAAACCATAAATACAAACCGATTGTTTAGGTATTAAAATAGACTAAAACCGATTGTTTAGGTATTAAAATAGACTAAAACCGATTGTTTAGATGCAAAACGCGTTAAATTTTTAATGGTAGGGTATTCAAATTAAACAAAAACTAAATGTTAGTTATGATTTAAAAAAAATAAAAGTCTAATTATTATAATAGACCAAAACTGATAGTTTATGTATTAAATACGTAATTTACCCTAAAAATTTTGTCGTTTCTCCATTCTTTTATTCAAAGCCTAATAAAAATTATAAAGCATGTTGAATTCATGCTAACATCAAATAAAACATGTAAAACTCTAGTACCTCTAGTAAAGGGTAAAAGGGCATTAATACCCTTTTATCTATCAAACTTTTGTCCCTTTTCAAGATTATTGAATCACAATGATCACCTTATAGGGTGGATGTTCTATCCACTGGAACTCACAACTCTTTTTTATTAAATAAATAACCTCAAGTTTATTTATTATGATGAATTCATACAAACATTAAACAAAACATAAAACTCCGGTGCTTTAGTAAAAGAAAATGACATTATTAACCCTCTATATATCAAAAGTTGTCTTTTTCTTTGCAAGATTATTACCGTCAAAATCCTGCCGGCGTTAGCTTCGAAATCTTCACTAATAATGAAGCTCTTCATGTTGCTTCACTAATATAATATAAAATTTTATTTGGATAATTTAATTCGAGTTTTAGAGTATTTGGGAATGATAAGAAAATTATAAGTTTAATGTTAATCAGATTATCTCCTTTTATTTTCTTTTCGTGTTTCATGTAATCTCCGATCTATGAAATATATTGATGGATTGATCAATCGGATGAGGGGTCATATAGTTCGGGCAGCAGGCAAGCTTTAGAGGAACTGAATATAAATGAAGTAAAGGGATATATGCTTATATTTTGAAATTGTTATTATTATTATTATTACTTGACATTATTACAAGTAAAAAAGACAAGTGAACACACATTATTGGAAAGCTAGAGCCGGTGGCAATCCTTTATTACTGGCTGTCAAATTTATTTAAATTATAAAATAAAAGTGCATGGTGTAAACAAGTAGCTAATTTTATTTAGTTTGACAGCCTCACCATCGCACCACAGATTGCCGCAAAGAGCAATTAAGCAAAGCAAAGCTTAATTTTGAAGTGGAAAAGAGGTGATTGTGGCGCTTAAGGACTGAGCATCACCGCTTGAATTGATATCTACTTCTGAATTGTATCCCCAGCCGTAGCTCGTGGGGTAAGAATCGTCGGCATGGTCGGGTTGAATGTTTTTCCAGATTTCTTCCCAAATAACAGGGTCACCAGCGGGAAGGATAGAGGTAGTAACCTATCATTCATAAACGAGCTTGTTATTAACTGAATACGAGAATTAATAATACACGTAAGAAGTCAGATATTATAATACTTGATTATTAGCGGTCCAAACAACGACCCACGTGGCTATCTTTCCTACAGCATACACAACAGATCCGTAAGCGTTGATTGATGTATCCTGCTCGAATACAACGGGTGGTGCACCGCTCTTGATCACGTCAGGAGCGCCTTCGTAGGTCGACGAAACCAACTTTAAAGTGTCGCCACAAACATTCTCGAGCTTGACGGTTGTGGGTACAGGAGCAGACGAGAGTGTGGCTCTTAAGATTTGAGCATCACCATTTGAACTGATGTCTACTACGGAGTTGTATACCCAACCGGAGGCCGTGGAGCTGGAATCCTCGGCGTGGTCCCATCGAATGCTGTCCCAAATATCTTTCCATATAACAGGGGTACCAGCACGAATGATCTTGGTAGCGACCTATCATTCGTAAATGAGCTAATTGTAATATACGCCACAAAATGAAAATTTAAGCAAGAAAACAAGGTTTAGGTAAATAATATTCATAACAAGTAAGATAGTGTTATTTACTTGATTATTAGCGGTCCAAACAACGATCCACGTGGCCGAATTTTCTATGGCATACATAACAGATCCGAAAGTATCGATGGACGTATCTTGCGGGAATTTAGAGGTTGGGTCACCGCTCTTAATGACGTTGGGAGCGCCTTCATAGGTCGACGCAACCAACGTTACAGTGTAGCCACACACGTTTGAAAGCAGGACGGTTGTGGGTGTAGAAGGAGCATCCATTTGTTGTTAGCTCAACTGAACGTATGCTATGGGAAAGGAGGACGGTTGTGCTACATAGCTGCTTACATACACATATTTATACGCTGATTCGTAGCATAATAAGATAATTAAATATACTGTCATTTTTATTTAATTGGCATCTTGAATCCATGTAATGAATCACATGTCAATTAAATAAAGGGTAAATTATGCCAATAGTCCCCTTTGTTTTCAGTCTGATCGACTTTGGCCACCAATTTTTTTAGTTAAGTGCGTTTGGTCTCTAACATTATCGATTCGTTCAGTTTAAGTCCTTCAGCCGTTAATGTATATTAACCCATTAACAGAAATATTAGGCGGCAGTTAAAAACTATAAACGTCTATTTCCCAATAAAAATTATAAGATGACACTAATGCCCCATTAGCTATAAAACTTGTCCTTTCTATATTCCTTTTATTTAAATTTTCGTCACAATTATTGTTTAAAGTATTTATTTAAAGCATAAAAGTTATATAACAGTGATAACATAGTCAATATTGTTATTTCTCTATTCCATTTATTTAAAGCTTAAAAAATTATATAACGTGATGATTTCATACTATCATCTAATAAAATATGTAAAACTCTAGTAAAGGGTAAAATGGCATTAATACCCTTTTATCTATCAGACTTTTGTCCCTTTTCAAGATTATTGCACCAAAATGATCTACTCGTTGGGTGGATCTCCTATCCAATAAGTAAAGGGTAAAGGGCTTTTATTGAACGCCCGTGATAGTTGAGAGTTCAATATGTGACCCTTGAGATTATGAAGGGTGGTACTTTTTCTTGGTAACAAATATTTGTCATTGGCATTTAACTTATTCAGTTGATGATAATCAATGTCTCTACAATAATTAAGATTTTTAGTGTACATTTAATCACAACACTAAAGATTTTCGTCATAAAATATATGTTTTTTATGACGAAATTTTTTTGTCACTTTTAAAATGAGTAATTGTGACATTTTTATTTTGTCATGCTTTAGATAATTATTGTGACAACTTTGAAGTTCATCACAATTAATTCGTCGCTAATAGTATTTTATTATGACTAAAGCAAGTTGTCATTATCAATTGATCACTAATAGAATGGTTGAATTGGCGCCAACTTATTTTTCCGCTAGAAAAGTTCTATTAGTGACAATATATTACTTAGTCACTATTATTATTTATAATTGTGATAAAAATATTTTGTCACTAGCAGGTGATTTGTTTTTATCACTAGTTTTAGTTGTTGATTTGTTACGACAATAATTTTTAAGATAAACCACACCGGTGACCACTCAACTATAGTAAAAAATCATTTTGACTACCGATGTTTCAATTTAATCAATCATATCATCCAACTATTTAAATATTTTAATTAAACCATTGATCGTTAACTTTTAACGGAAGAGATGACGTGGCAGTTAAAATTTAACCGAGGGAATGACATCTTTTGTCTTTGTTACTTACATAATTAAATTACGACACGTGTCAGTCTCTTATTGGACGGTTAAATTTTTATTTTTTAAAAAAACTCTAAAATATTATTATTATTCAAATTAACTAAAAATCTAAAAAAATATATCCCAAACTTTTCAAGTCTCTAATTTCAAACATCCATTACCGTTGCTGGTAATAGTCGACCGTCACCACCTTCTCCAAACGGTCACCCACTCGTCGCTGACCACCTAGTGACCGACCATCGCCCTTGCCGTTGCACTTTTTGGACAGGGTGCCGTTGGCCTTGCTGTTGTTGAAGGTGCAATGATTTGTGAGGCGTTTCGGATCATCGTTGATCTGAATCCGAGAAGATTTGAAGAAGCCAAGAGGTTTGGGATTACAAGGTTTTTGAATCCAAAAGACTAAGACATGATCCATTTGGATGCTTAAGGAATTAATGTTGCTGCATATTGCCCTTGTTGCATCTCTCTTTCGCTTGCTTTACCCATTGCAACACCCAATCACAGATTCAAGGATTTTCTTTCTTAGAGAAAGTGAAGATTCAAAGATTTTTCTTTGTGTGAAGATTCCAGTGGAGATTCCCAAATGATGTAATGGACACCGGCACGTGAAATTAGGTTCATTAAACCAAATGATGGCTCGAATTGAGACTAAATTAGAAATCGACAAGTGAAATTTGAAAGTATAAGGACTAAAGTGAAAAGATAGTAAGAGTATAGATTTTGCATGCCTGTTATACCAAATGTGGATTCAGTGGAAATAAAATAATAATGGATCGTTTTGGGTGAAATATCGATAAATTCCAAATATTCGATTTGATCAATGAGGAGAAGAATGCAAGGTTTGGGGACAATGGGAGGGACTGATGGCTTAGGTTGGATTCTTACATCCCTGATTGGTTTATTTTCGAAAAGTATTCGGATAAAAAAAGATCGTAAATATTAACCGATCGATATCAGTATTTTTTAGTAAAAGTGTTATTATCCTATATAAATTGATTTGTTGAAACTAGATCGAGTTGAGTTGAAACTTGAACTTAGCATATCCGTTCTTCATTCAATTTTTAGACCGTTCAAGGATAATTTGGATTGAAAATTCAATGCAAATAACGTAAAGGGGTGCATGGTTATTTTTTGAAACTATTATTATTATTAATTGACATTAATACAAGTAAAATAGGACAGACTACACACACAATATTGAAAAGAAAGAGCTAGTGGCAATCCTTTATTGCCTGCTGTCAAATTTATTTAAATTAAAAAAGTAGTGCATAGCGTAAGCAAATACATTTATTTTTATTTTAGTTTTGACAGACTCACCACCACCACACCAGAGATTACCGTAAAGAGTAATTAAGCAAAGCATAGCTTAATTTGTTGGAACTGTAGAGATTGTGGCGTTTAGGGTTTGAGCATCACCATTCCAACTGATTTCCACTTCTGACTTGTATCCCCAACCGTAGCGCGTGTCGTACGAACTTTCGGCCTTGTCGGGTCGGATGGTGCTCCGGACATGTTCCCAAATGACAAGTGTATCAGCAGGACGGATCGAGGTAGCCACCTATCATTGACAAATGAGCTAAATATTATATATGCTATGTAATCAAAAATAAAACAAGGTCTAGATTTTAGGTAATTACTAATTGAACATGAAATCATTTACTTTTGTTATACTAAGCGAATTAATAATATACATAACAAGTAAGATAATAGTATTTACTTGATTATTAGCGGTCCAAACAACGATCCACGTGGCCATTTTTCCCATAGCATACACAGCAGATCCGAAAGTATCGAGCGCTGTATTCTGTTCGAATACAACCGAGTCACCGCTCTTAATGATGATAGGAGAGCTTATATAGGTCGACGAAACCAGCAGTGCGGTGTCGCCGCTCTGATTTGAAAGGCCGACGAATGTTGGTGTAGGAGCAGCCATTTGTTGTTAGATCAACAAAGTTTACTCTCTGTGTTTGATTTGCTTGTGTTGTGCTACATAACTACTTGCACACACATATTTATATACAGCTTTGCAGCTTAATAAGATAATATAAATATACATCTTTATTTTATGGGAAAAAACAATAAAACATATTTATGAATCACATGGCCATTAAATGAAATATAAAATTCTAATAGCCCCAGTTAAAATTATAAAATTACATTAATGCCCCATTAGCTATAAAGCTTTTGTCGTTTCTCCGTTCCTTTCATTTAAAGCGTGATTAATTCATACCAGGGATGGGAATTGTCGGTCGGGTCGGGTCGGGTCGGATTTTCAATTCACCTGATCCGACTCGAAAAATATACAATCTTTCATCCGTTCCGAATCTGACTCAAAAAATATACACATTTCATCCGATTTGAACTTGGCCTAGGATTTTTAGATAAAATATGAATTCGACCCGAAATAATATATTTATTAAAAAATATTATTTTATTCAATAAAAATAGGAATTTAATTGAAATAAAATAATATATATAAAGGGAATTATTGTAATTATCCATAAATATATAAGGTAAAATTTCAATTTTTTCGGGTCGAGTATTTTTTACCCTAAAACCGAACATAACATTAAAAAAAACTCAACCTAATTCGGCCTTAACTCAAAATATTTTTTTTAAACAATATAACTCGATCGAGTAGAGTCGAAACTCGTCGAGTTCAATCTTATGCACATCCCAATTCATACTAACATCAAATAAAACATTTAAAACTCTAGTACCTCTAATAAAGGGTAAATTGACAATAATAACCTTTTATCTATCAAACTTTTGTCTTCATCAGGAATGCTGCATCAAATGATCTACTCGTTTATAATGAAAGTAAGCGGAAAAAATGTTCTACTCGTTTATAATGAAAGTAAGCGGAAAAAATGTTCTACTCGTTTGTTGGATCTCTTATCCATTAAAATCACAAGAAAAAAGTATGAAAATCTATGACGGCCGAATCACAAGAAAAGTGAGAAAATCATATTTAAACCTTCAAAGATAAAGGAAATGAAAGTGAGTGTCTCAAAGCTTCAAGAATAAAGGAGTCAGATTTACATGGGCATGCTATCTAATTACCCTGATGTTTTAGATAATGTTTTTTTTAAATGAATTGATTTCCAAAGATGTTATCTAATTACCCTCATGGGGTTTTGGATCATTGTCCCAGCGTGATCCAATTGGATGTTCCTGAGTACAGTCCACCAAGGTGTTGAAGTTGAAAAGTCAAACAATGCAAAACAAAGTTTGGCACCGCACAATGGAAGTTTGGCACCCAAAATGGGTTGAAATTTCAAAGGCAGGCACCGAAATTGTGAAGTCAAAAGGAGGCTGATTTTGTTGAAGTTTTTGACATGAGAATATTGTAACTTTAGTCACTCACATTTAGGGTATTTATAATATTAGTCTTTAAACTTCAACTATAAATACTCTAGCCCATTTAGCTTCAACATCATCCCAAATCATTTCTTTCTCCCAATACTAGAGAGCTTTCTTGTGAGTAGTGAGTGTTTTGTAAACACCTGTAAATTTTCTCTCTTTAGTAGAAGATCTCCAGCAGTCCGGAGACTAGGCAAAATTGG